AGATGCGGACTTGAGATCCTATTTACAAACACCATTAGAACAAATCATTCTATTCATTAAGAGAATGCAACTATATATCTATCCTAACCACTTTGAATATTTTTTTCTGTTTTTGAGACAGGATCTCACTATGTAATTCATTCAGGCCTTGACATCTTGGCAAGTCTCCTGCCTCGGCCTCCCATGTGCTAGGATTACAAGTGTGTGTCACCACACCCAGCTGTGCTGAAAGTTCCAGCCTGGTAAATTGGGCATGTGTATTCCTGTCCCGATTGGAAAGAAAGTAACCTACCCCTATTTATAGAGAGTATGATCTTCTATGAAAAACCTCAGGGAAGGCTGGGGATAGAGCTCTGTGGCACAGGGCCTGCTGGGCAAGCCTGAGGCCCCGAGTTTAATTCCCAGTACCACAAAGGAAAAAGTTATTGTGTAACTGCGGGGTTACACAATACATACATACACAACCATTAGAGCTAATAAACAAGTTCAGCAAGTTTGTAAAATATAAGAATGATATACAAAAATGCATTTTTCACAACTAGAAATAAACAATCCAAAAGTTAAAAAAATCATTTATATTAATGACAAAAGAATAAAAAGCTTTGATATAATTTTAAAGATATTTATTTTGATGCAGGGTCTTGCAGCTCAGTTCGGACTCCTAGTGGTCTGCACTGGGATTACAGGCTCGCTCCACCGTCCACGGTTTCCAGCCTGCTTGGTGCGCCTGAGGTTCCAGGACCCGCAGGGAATGCGGTACCGGGGATGGAACCCAGGTCCTCGGGCTTGCCAGGCAGGCGCTTAGATCAAAGAGCTATCTCCCCAGCCCTGATATAATTTTTTTTTTAAAAAAAATTTTAGTACAGGATCTCACTACACAGCTCGGACTCCTAGTGATTCTCCAGTTTTCAGCCTCCCAAACACTGGGATTACAGGTCTCAGTCACTGTCTCAGCGCACTGTGGGTCGGGGTCGGCAAGGCACTCTGGGAGTCGAACCCTGGTCGCTGCGCCTGCCTATAAAGATACTTTCATTTGCTGAATTGTCTGGTCTGTCTAATCTTTCTTTCTTTCTTTTTTTAAATTGTACTAAAGTTTTATTAAGTGTAGGAAAAGAAACAGGCTCTAGAGCTAGTTTGGGCCGAGTAAAATGAAAAGAGGGGCAACCTAAGCTGAAGGCGGGCCTTCATGCTGTGTCGGCCCCGCCCCGGGGGCGCGCTGAGTGAATGAGACTGGGCCTGGGGGCAAGCGCCTGTAATCCCAGTGCTTGGGAGGCTGAAATCAGGAGAATCACAAGTCTGATCTGTGTAGTGAGATCCTGTAGTAAATAAAATAATAATAATAATAATCCCTAAACTATAAACATCCCATGCTTACACAGGTCAGAAGATGCAGTTAGGCTGTTAACATCCCCAAATGGATCAATTAATCCAATCGATTCATAATGAAATCTTCTCAGGGGCCAGGGTGATGGCTCAGTAGAATAAGCGCTTGCCTGGCAAGCGCAAGGGCCTGAGTTCTTGCTTCAACCATTGCAAAAATTGATGTTAATAGTAAAATTCAAATGGGAGGGCTGGTGAAATGGCTCAGTGGTCTAAAGCACCTACTTAGAACAAGCTTAGCAAAGCACAGGGACTGCGGTTCAATCCCCCAGCACCACATGCCAGCCAGCCCCGCCCCCTGGTGGACTGAGCTGGCCACATACACACAGACACACACACACATATAAATAAATAAATAAAAATTAAAAAAAAAAACAAATTGGAGAAGTGCAAGGGATCCAAAAAAGCAATCTTTTTTTTTTTTTTTTTTTTTTTTTTGTATTTAGTACGGGGTCTATAAGGTCTCATTATGTAGATCTGACTTGTAGTGATTCTCCTGTTTTCAGCCTCCGAAGTGCAGGGATTATAGGCTCGTGCCACCATGCCCAGTCTCAATCTGTGTTTTCAGCATGTTCTGGGGGCAGGGCCAGCTGGAAAAACATAATCTTGAAATAGAAAAGTTGGAGGACTCCTTGGTCCCTATTTCAAAATGTGTAAGAATTCTATAGCTGAGTGTGGAGGTTACAGCTGTAACGCCAGTATTGGGGAGGCTGAGACAAGAAGTGAAAGGGAGGCCAGCCTGGAATACGTAGTGACACACACACACACTGACACAAAGACAGCTATACAGAGCAATGGAATTCAGATGAACGTATGTGGACACCTCTCTCTCTCAAGGACTCAAATTTACCTTAAAATTCTGCCTCCCAAAAAACTCTTTATGCCACTCAATAAAGTTGAGATTACAGAGTGGGAAACCCCTTGTCTACGGTTTTTTCTTTTGCGGAACTGGGGATTGAACTCAGGCCCTTGTGCTTGCCAGGCAAGCACTTATTCTACTGAGCCATCTCCCCAGCCCTACAGTTTGTTTTCGTTCCTTTTTTTTTTTTTTCTTCAGTACCAGGGATTGAAATTGGGACCTTGCGCTTGCCAGGCCGGTACTTATGCCATTGAGCTATCCACAGGCCTACAGTTTGTTTTCAGTAAGAATATGAAGACAATTCAATAAGCAATAGTCTTTACAACCAATACAGCTTTAAAAAACCCAAGTCTGGGCATAGTGGCGTATGCCAGTAATCCTAGCGTTAGCATGGCTGAAAACAGGAGCATCACCACGAGTCCAAGCTACGCAGTGAGACCCTGTAACAACCAAATACATAAAAAGGGGGGGGGGCTGGGGAGATAGCTCAGTAGAATAAGTGCTTGCCTGGAAAGCGCAAGGGCCTGAGTTCAATCCTGGGTTCTGAAAAAAAAAAAAAAAAAAAAAAAACTATCAGAATTAACAATTATAATAAAAACTCAAATACTACTGGAATAATTGCACATTCACACACAAGGAAGATAGACCTTTTGCCTCAAACTTTATGTAGAAAATAGATACCTCAAAAAATGGTATCTCAATGTGAGAACTTTTAGCTATAAAGCTATTAATAGTTATAACACCTTTGAAAACTCTGACTTCATTATTTTTATATAACTTCATTATTAACTTTGTATTTAGTTTCCATTTATTTATTTAAAATTGATAGTCTTGCTGTTTGGTTTACCTTAAACTATGCCGCCCAAGTGGGGCTCAAAGTCACAGTGATCCTCCTGTCTCAGCCTCCCAGATGCTAGGACTACGGGTTGTGCTACTCTACCTGGCTATAATTACTTTATAATAAATGTTTAGACAGGGCTAGAGAGATGGCTCAGTGGTCTAAGGCACCTACTTGGAGCAGGCTTGGCAAAGCACAGGGACCACGGTTCGATCCCCCAGCACCACATGCCAGCCAGCCCCGCCCACAGGTGGGCTGAACTGGCCACACACACAATAAATAAAATGTAAAAATAAATAAATAAAAATTAAAAAAAATGTTTAGACAACTTTTTTCTATAAAACTTGGAGGAAGAAAGGTATGGTGGTGCACATCTGTGACCCCAGCACTCAGCAGACTGATGGAGGAGGATCCCAAGTCCAAGGTCAGCCTATGAGCTCAAGGCTGGCCTCAAGCACATAGTGAGAACTTGTCTCAAAAAACCAAAACCGGGGCTGGGGAGATAGCTCAGTAGAATAAGCATTTGTCTGGCAGGTGCAAGGGCCTGGGCTCAATCCCTGGTTCTGCCAAAAAAGAAAAAACAAAACCCAAAACCAACCACATAAACATGGGGATATACAGTTCAAAAGCTTGGAGGTCAATTCCCAGTAAAACACGCGAACACATGTACATAAAACGAGATTCACATAACAGAATATTATTTGACAAAAAGAATAAAGCATGGGTATAATCTACAGTCAATGAATGACACCATAATACTAAGTGAAATAAGTCAGTCAGTCACAAAAGACACACATTGTATGATTCGTTCCATTTACTGAAATGTCCTGAATAGACAAATCATAGACAGACACTGGACCAGGGATTCATTAGGGATCAGGGGTCATGACAACGAGGAATAAGGAGTGTGACAAATGGTCAGTAGTTGTTTTCTGGAGGTATAAAAATACTCTAGAATTAGATTGGGATGGCTACAAAGCTCTATGAATAAACCAAAGACCAAAGTTGTACGCTTCAAACAGTTTAATTTTATGGTATGTGAACTACCTCTTAACAAAGCTGTTATAAATCTTTTTTTTTTGAACTGGGAATTGAACTCAGGACCTCATGCTTGCCAGGCAGGCACTGTGCTGCTGAGCTACAACCCTGGCTCCTAAAATCTTTTTTTTTTTTTTTTTTTTGGCACCAGGGATCAAACTCAGGACCTTGAACTTGTCAGGGAGGCGTTTATGAAAATTGTAATTTTAAAGTCACACCATGTGTTCCCTCAGGGAGCTCAGGCCAAGGTATGAAACACCTGGAGTGTCACAAGAAGGAGGGGGCTGAGGAAAGGCTAACGATCTTGACCATTTGCGACAGTTCACCCTTCACTGCCGATGGATACCCCTCTTTTCACCAGTTTTTTATTTTTTGCGGTACCAGGGATCAAACTCTGGACCTTGTGCCTCCCAGCCAGATGCGTATACGACTAAGCTACCTCCCTGAGCCTCCACCAATTTTTTAAGATGTTATTTTCAGGGCTGAGGATGAAACCCAGGGCCTTGAGCATGCTAAGCCAACGTTCTGTCCTGGAGCTCTGCCTTAAAGACTTTTAAAAGCTAGTGTCTGAGGGTCAGTAGGACATGGAGGCCCCTGCCATCAGGACACTTGCTACTTTCGCTCCTTGTCCTTGCCACCTGGGTACCTGTCCTGAGCTACAGCCCACTACCATGTCCCGATTCACATGTGTCCGGAGATGTCGCTTCCTGTCAGTGCAACCTGACAGACCCCAAATCTTGAGATAAGAACCCAGAGAGGAAGTTTGACTTCATGCTGGCCTTCAGCTTTGTCAATGGATAACCTGGTGTCAGTTCTTGAGTATCCTAGAAATATTCTGAGAATTCAAGCACTTATATGTAATTTGGCCCAAAAAAGAACATACTAATTATATGCTTCTATGCTCTGGTTGGCTTTTTTTGTCCCCTCCTAAATTTTACCTGGACCTTGTTTTTCCATTTGACATACTTTTTGAATTTTTATCTGGTGCTAGAGACTGAACTTGAAGCCTCTTTTTTGCTTTTTGTTTTCTTCTGTCTTTTAAAAAAAATTTTTTTTTGGTTACAGGGTCTTGCTAAGCAGCTCGGAATCATAGTGATGCTCCTGTCTCAGCCTCCCCAGCGCTGGCATTACAGGCGTGCAGCCAGAACGGCATGTGGTACTGGGGATCAAACGTAGGTCCTTGTGCTTGCCAGGCCGGCGCACAGGCGCTTAGACTGCCGAGCTACCTCTCCAGTCCCTTTTTCTCTTGAGACAGGGTTTTGCTATGCAGTTCAGGCTGGCCTTGAACTCACTTGGCAGCCCAGGCTGGTCTCAAACTTGCAACGATCCTCCTGCCTCAAGCTCCCAAGTGCTGATCATGGGTGTCATGCCTGGCCCCTCACACTAACTTTGGAGGAAAGCTACTTAACATTCTCCTTTCCCTATTTATTTGAACAATCATTCACCATAAATTCACAGAAATATCCATGGCTGCTTTGGATTCTTCCCTCTACTCTTATTTTTGTGCAGTGGTATCTACTACTTTGATGTTTGGCCACCCAGTTGTCAGATACTGCCTTTACTGTTTCTAGAACACATACTGTGAGCTAGGAGTTCTGATAAGCAGTAGGAGGGCTTCTGTGTGGCCTGCGCAAGGGCCTGGGTTGAACTGCACACACAAAAATGTACTGCTTTGGATTTAAGTTGTTAATTTTTTTTTTTTTTTAAATTTATGTATTTGGTACAGGGTCTCGCTATGCAGCTCGAACCTAGTGATCCTCCTGTTTCAGCCTCCCCAGCGCTGGGATTACAGGTGTGTGCCACCATGCCCTGTTTTGGTGGCTGGGCAGGGCTGGCACAGCATGTGGTACTGGGGATCAAACCCAGGTCCTTGACCTTGCCAGGCAGGCGCTTAGACCACTGAGCTATCTCCCTGGGCCCTAAAAAAATCTTTTGGAATGCTAAAAAATTCAAAGATTAAGCTAGGGTAGGAAAATCCACCTCTTCTGGAAACCGCTTTCCATTCAGTTACATAGTAGATTTCCAAGTACTTAGATTTTATGCTTCAGGCCAGACACATCATTTGTTTTATATAGACTTTGCACGGTTCTGTCTGTTTTACTTTGTCTTTTCATTGTTGGTATAGGACCCTTTTTTCCTCCAAGTGTATTTTCTGACTTGTTACTGTCATGTACAGAAGCATGTTTTTTGGCTACTGGTTATTATCTATAAACCCACTCAGTGCAGATGCGGGGGGATCACAGTAGGTATGAGGCCACCTTGGGGTGCGCTTAAAAAAAAAAAAAAGCCACTACTCAGTAAAAGGTTTCCATGGACATGTAAGTATGCGCTAAACAAAGCTAAAGAAGATTTGTTCATGCAGGACTTTTTTTTTTTTTTTTTTTTTTTAATTGGAGATCAAACCCAGAGGGCACCTGGCCTTTTGTTTTTTTAATGTGAAACAGGATCTTGCTACGTTGTCCAGACTGGCCTCAAACTTATGATCCTCTCGCCTCCATCTCCTAGGTAGCAGGGACAAGTGTGTGTACCACACCTGGTTTGATGCTTTTAACAAAAATTTCCAAGAGGCTAGAGAATTCTCTGTACCTAACCTGGCCATGGATTCCTTTGTCAAATGATACCCCAAAACTCTGGGAAACAACACACCTAAAGACCCTGCGACCTGGGGGTCTTCACTGAGCCTCTCTGACCCCCAGCTTCCACCCACTCACCCCCAGCCAGAACACAGAATATAGTCTGGTGTCAAAGTGAACGCTTTAATGAGCATGGGAGAACCCGGTCTCTCTCAGCTGCTGCCAGCTTCTGCTGTCCCCACCACCCTTAGTTTGGCAGGTGAGCCAGTTGCTCAGGGCAGGGATCTAGAATCTAGACTTTGGGGGGTGGGGGCAGGGCACTCCAGGAGGGAGTGTGGCCAGGGGGCCAGGGCTCAGGCTGGTCCCTCCTCAGGCATTCCTAGCAAAGCCACAAGCGGCTCCAGAGGGATGGGGGTGCCTACCGGCACAGGGTGCGTGCGCTCATGCTTGCGCAGGTCGCTGGCACTTAAGAAAGCCTTGGGGCAGTGGGGACAGGCGTGGGGGCGCACGGAGCTGTGCGTGCGGCTGTGTTTGCGCAGCCCAGCCCTATCTGAGAAACTCTTGCCACACTGCGTACAGGGGAAGGGCCGGAGCTCAGGGTGCGTGCGCTCGTGCCGCCGCAGCAAGGTCTGTGTGGGGAAGGTCTCTTTACACTCGCGACAAGTAAACTGTGGTGGCTTCTCATCGGTCTCCTCAACCCCGGCCAGGTCCAAGGGACCTGGAGACTCCCCGACGGCTGGCCCCTGGCACTCCACGTGCTCCACCGTCATCCCCACCACCTGCCACTGTGTGGCCATCACGGCGCTGGAGTCAGGGGACAGCCCCAGCAGCCCTGCTGGAGGGTCCCCGAGGCCTGTGGCTGTACCTGGGGCGGCCTGGCCCTCACCTGTCACACCGACGGGCAGGGCCAGCCCGACCACCAGCTCTGGCGGGGCAGCCTCACTGCTCCGGTGCGTCCGCTCGTGCTTCCGGAGGCTGGACGACACCACGAAAGACTTCCCGCAGGCGCCGCAGTGGAACGGGCGCTCGCCTGAGTGCACGCGGCTGTGCTTGGTCAGGCTGGCGCGCTCGGCGAAGGCGCGCCCACACTCCTCGCAGCGGAAGGGCCGCTGGCCTGAGTGCACCAGGGCGTGCCGCTTGAGGTCCCAGGAGGCCACGAACGTCTTGTCGCACTGCAGGCACTTGAAGGGCCGGTCGCCTGTGTGAACGCGCCGGTGCATGGCCAGGTCTGCTGGCTGCCGGAAGTCCTTGCCGCACTTGTCACAGCGGTAGGGCTTCACGCCCTCGTGCGCGCGCTGGTGGCGCCGGAAGCTGGAAGGGTCAGAGAACATGCGGCCGCAGCGCGGGCAAAGGAAGGGCTTCTCCCCGGAGTGCGTGCGCTCGTGGCTCTGGTAGGAGCTGAGCTGTGTGAAGCCCTTGCCACAGGCCGGGCAGCGGTAGGGCTTCTGGGCCGCGTGGATGCGCTGGTGGCAGGTGAGGGAGGAGGAGCGGGAGAAGCTCTTTCCGCAATCGGAGCAGAGGAAGGGGCGCTCCCCAGTGTGGGACCTGTGGGCAGGGTGGGCTGCATGTGAGGGTGACGGCACCTCGCTGCCAATTAGGCAGTGACCCCAAACATCCCTGGGATCTTCCGCCTAACTCCCTACGGGGCCACTGGGCTGTGCCCAAGAGCAAAGAAAACTCCAGGTAAGAGCACTACACACATCACAGACCTGTGCAAAGATCTGTGTCCCCAAGGCCACATGCTGACCTGCAATGGGCCCCAGCCCTGACAGCGCCATCTCAAGGGGGCCCCCCAGCACCCCGCAACCAGGGCAGCTTGGCCCACTACTTTCCAGGGCTCCCGGACCCTCACTCCTCACGAAGGACAGAATCTTACCGCTCATGGTTCCGCAGGTCCTTGAGCTCCGCATACGCCTTGCCACAGCGCTCACAGCCGTAGGGCCGCAGGCCCGCATGCGTGCGCCGGTGCTTGCGAAACACCGAGGGGTCCGCGAAGCTCTTACCGCAGTCGGTGCAGGCATAGGGCCGCTCGCCCGTGTGGCCGCGCTGGTGGATCTTCAGCTTGGACAGCGCGCCATAGGCCTTGGGGCAGTGCGCGCACCGGAAGGGCAGCTCACCCGCGTGCGAGGCCAAGTGCACGCGCAGACACACGGGCTGCATGAAGCGGCGGCCACACTCGGGACACGGGAAGGGCTTCTCGCCTGTGTGGCTGCGCCCGTGGCTGCGGAGCTCGGGTGCTGTCTTGTAGGCCTTAGGGCACAGCGGGCACGCATAGGGCCGAGGCTTCACCGCTGAGCCTGACCCTTTACCCTCACTGGCTTCTTCCCCTGTGGCTTCAGTGTCCTGCTTTGGCTTTGCTTCAGCCACCTCCTCTGTACAGTCTGCAGGCACATGCGTGGCCGCGTGGCGCGCAGCCCTGGGAGCATTTGGAAATGTCTTGGTGCAGGACAGGCACTTATAGCGACGGCCACAGCGCTTGTACCCGGGGGTTGGGGACCCAGCCTCCGTGGCCTCCACCTCCATGGCCTCGGTGGGTGGGGCTTCTCTGCAAGACAATCAAAGTTAGGCCAAAGCCAAATCCCTTTGCTATTCTTCAAGGCCTCTGTCCTCACTGGAGGGCCCCAGAGGGAGCTGATCTCATTACACTTCCCACAGGGCATGCTCAGCGCAGAAGCAAAGTCGGGACTCCTACAGCTCCCCTGCCAACCATTCCTGTTCTGACAGTCTGAGCTTCCTCTGTGTCCTGCTCACTAAGGTTACAAGTGAGTCCTAGGCTGAGGGGGGGCTGGCATTACAAAAGGTCCACCTGCACTTCCCTCCCCAAACTCTGGGCTTTTCCAACACTAGGGCAGCCTCCATTCCATGTTTCACCACCCTGCCCCTCAGCCCAGGGTCCAAGAACCTGCAGGATGCAGGGTTCTGTACAAGAAGACAAGGCAGAGGGTAACCAGCTGTGAGCCTGGCCTGATCTCTAGATGCCCAGGGAAGACAGGCCTAGATCCAGAAGATGGCTGCATGGAGTGGCTGCATGGAGTGTGTGGAATGACAGGCCTCCAGTTGGTCAGCTCTCAGAAATGCAACTGTTCAGAGGAATTCTGGCACTGTCCAGCGGAAGGGACTCCACCCCAGACAGGAATCCTCGTCTCTGCTCCAGCATCTGTTGGGCTCCTGCAACTCTGGCAGTGGGGAGCTCACTCTCAGCCGAAGCCACCGTGAGCAGCTAGAAGCCTCTTCTGTCATAACCCACGACTCTGAGCTCAGGAGGCCTCCTGGGACTCCAGGTCTAGCTGAGGTCCCTGCTCTCTGCTCCAAGCTCAGACACTGTCCACCCAGCTGCTTCTGGGATCATGACTGGGAGGAAATAGGATTAACAGTTGCATTAGCCTTAACACCAGCTCATCCTCCCGGGATGAAGAGAAGAGGATTACAACAGATCCACTTACAGGGACAGCAGCAGCTGCAGCTGGGGGAGCCGCCGGCAGTGGGGAGAGGAGCCAGGTGTGCCCAGAGGCAAGGAGGCCGCACTGCCGGCCTGTGGATGACTCACTGTGAGGGCTCAGTGAAATCAACAGTTGCTTCAGGCCTGTCTTCTCTGTACACCTTGGTGGTTGGGGGTTTCTAAGCCATCACACTGTTTTTGAGGAGGATGGAGTGGAACAGAGGGCACCCAGGAGGGTGCAGAAGGAAATACAGAAGAAGGCAACGGCACCACTCGGCCAGTGGTCCCAGGAGCCCCTCCAGTGAGGGGCAAAGGCTTTAAGCCAGCCCCCTCCTGTCCACTGTTCCTGCCACAGTCCTACCCACTGCCCTGCCCCTCAGTCCCAGCAGCCAGTCAGCTCCTGAAAGTACCATGTGATGCCCACATCCCATGTTCATGAACTTCCCATGGCTTCCGCACTGTGCAAGCTCCTAGACTCTCATTATTCCAAATCCTACCAATCCCTCATCTGAGTCCCACTTCCCCCGAGTTCTTCTGTACATCCTCTTTAGTTTTGGCCCCAACCCACATAACTCCATTCTGCCCTCAACTTGGTTATTCAAGTCACTTTTCCCTGAGGCTGGGGATTTGGCTCAGCGGTAGAATGCTTGCCTGGCAAGCTAGAAGCCCTGGGTTCCGTCCTCAGCATCAAAAACAAAACATTCAATCTCCACTAAAAAATAGTTCAACCAAAAAGATACAGTAAAATAAAAAAAAAAAAAAAAAAAGATCAAAAACAAGTCACTTTTCTCACTAAATCCTGGGACATGGGCCTGGGAGATGGCTTAGTAGAATAAGCGCTTCCCCGGCAAGTGCAAGTGTCTGAGTTCAATCCCCGGTTCCGCCAAAAAAATAAAAATAAAAATAAATAAATCCTGGGACTTGAAGCTGAGTTAAAGGGCTGGAGTTCCAGCCCCATGAACTCCTCTCACAGTTCCAAGGGACCCATCCCTATCTCCTACCAGACTAGGTCTGGATAGTCTGCTTGATAGTTTCTCCTTAGGAAAATGCTAACAGATTAGCTGTAGAGCACTTGCCTAGCACAAGTGAGGCTCTGGCCCAATACTCAGCACTGAAGGAAAGGAGAAAAAAAAAAAAAAAAGATAGCTCATATTTATTTGTGAGCATTGATCAAATTCCAGGTTGCACCCTATGTTCTCTGTATATATTCCTTACCTTCATGTCAACATGATGAGAAAAGTTCTTTTCACAGATAAAAGAACTGAGGCCCAGAGCAACAGTACAGCACTGTGGTTAAGTGCACAGTCTTGAAGCCAAACTTCCCAGGTTCAAATCTTGCCTCCATCACTTCCCAGCCGATGTGACCTTGTGCAATTTATTGTATACCTCAGGACCTTAGTGTTCTCATCTGAAAAATGGAGGTAAAATTAGTGCTTCCCTAAGAGGGTTGGGTGAGGTTTCAATGAGACAAGAATAATTACTACCCTTAATGATTGAGTCATTTCAGGGCCAGACACTTTAATGAGTATGCTACCTTATTAATTCTCCAGCAGTTACAGATCCCATTTTACTGATGAATAAACTGAGGTCCCAAGAGTAACAGGACTTGCGCACTGCATAGCTAGGGCTTGAAATTGGGTGTTTTAACTGGTTTTAAGTCTTGGGCCGGCCAAATAGCTCAGTGGATTAAAGCACCTGCAAGCAGGCCCAGGGCCCAGGGGTTTGCTCCACTGTGCCTGCCCCACCCCCGGGCCGCATTGAGACACTGAGACGTGATTGAGACTGGGCGTGGTGGCGCATGCCTGTAATCCCAGCTCTTGGGAGGCTGCAAACAGGCAGATCACTCCAAGTCCAATCTAGTAGTGAGACCCTGAACACCCTGTAGACCCTTTCCTAAAATACAAAAAAAAAAAAAAAAAAAATTGGGCTCTGGCCCAATAACCTAGACGTCTCAAGCTTCCTGCTGCCATGGCTACCCCATCAGGTCGCACCTGTAAACTAGCATCCTTTGCATTTCAGGAGATGGGGCCTGCCGGTTCTGAGCCTGGGCCCTGTTTAGCCCTGGTCAGCGCCAGGCCTCACGCTTACGCTGTATTGTGAAACAGAAACTAGGCTGCTGGAGGGATCCATCCCCGCTAAGGCACTGCCCAGGGAAATGGCAAGAGAGCGCCTGGTGGGTCGCAGCCGGCACCCAGCTCCCCCAGTCGGAAGTTGGAAGTCGAAGGCCGGGTAGGCTAGGCTCGTGTACATGAGGCCTCTTTCTAGAGCGCTAGCTCTCCAAGTGAAGGCGGTTAAAGTCTCCAGTATCAGAATAATCCTCTAGGGAGCTTGAGCAGGCCATGAGAACCTGTATTTTAAAGTTTCTGCATCATTCCTAACTCTCAACAAGCAAATGCACATACATGTAGCTGAGTGTGCTGGTGCTGGTGATCCCAGCACTCCAGGAGGCTGAGACAAGATCACTACAAGGCTGAGGTTAGCCTGGGCGACACAGCAACCCTGTCTAAAAACAAACAAATGAACAAACAAAATGGTCCGGCAGTTAGCTCAGTGATGGAGTGCTTCCCCAGCATGTGTGAGCCTCTGGGTTTAATCCCAAGCATTTACGAAAAAACAAAACAAAAAACAGAACTCAAACAGCTCGGCATGATGGTACATGCCTGTATTCCCAGTATTGGAGAGGCTGAGGAGGATTGCCACGAGTTCAAAGCTAGCCTGGGCTACACACTGAATTTAAGACTGGCCTGAACCACATAGTGAGACCCTGCCTAAAAGAAAGAAAAGAAACGTATCTTTAGGTGTTTACCTGCTTCAGAGACAGTCATTTTTACTGTGTTTTGGAACTGAAGACCACACAGGGGAAACCATATATACAAGGGGAGATTCAAATTCAACTCTCAAGTAAAATAAATCAGATATACCTGTTCAAACATTGCGTGGTTTCTCTCTCTCTCTCTCTTTTTTTTTTTTTTTTTTTTTGGTCTTTTTTTAAGACAGGGTCTCACTATGCAGTTCAGGCTGGCCTTGAGCTCACTTTGTAGCCCAGGCTGGTCTTGAACTGGCCCGGTCTCCTGCCTCAGATCCTCCTGCATCAGTCTCCCACATGCTGGGATTGCAAGTGTGTGCCACCACACCTGGCCACCCAGCTAGCAGTGATCCTCCTGTCTCAGCCTCCTTAGTGCTGGGATTACAAGTGTGCATCACCACGCCTAGTTCTGGGCCCATCTGGCGCACCTGCAGAGCATGTAGTACTGGGAATTGAACTCGGCCCCTGCACTTGCCAGGCAGGTGCTTAGGCCACTATCTCTCCCCCTCCCCAAGCCCATGAATGATAAATATTGAGAAATGGGAAGAAAATGTTCAAATGAGAAGGAAAAGGAGGGGAAAGGGAAAAAAGAAAAGAAAGAACAACAATAACAAAATTAAACAAAGCTTTTGTAAATAAGGAGAGGAGAAGGGATTGAAGGGAGGGGAGGGAATGGGAGAAAAAGCAGCAGGATCTATCACGTACAGGTACAATTCTCTATGATGGATGTTATCATTATGCATACCTACAATGTACTGATAAAATTAAACAAGGAATAAAACAAGTCTTCAGGGTCCTGGGCCGGGCTCTTTCTTTACCAGTTGTTAGTCCCTTAAGGGTTTCCTAGTCAAATCCTAACAGTGCTCTCAGAACAAAAACCTTTATTTTTCCTATCACTGACACCACAGTCCATCTATTTCCTGCCTGCTTCATCTCATCTCTACCTCCTCACCACCAGCTCACTACACTCCAGCTACCTAGGCCCCCTTTCTTTTTAAAGTTTTTAAAATCTTTTATTTATTTATTTACTTCCTTACTTACTTTTTTGGTACAGGGTCTCACTACGCAGTTCAGACTTATAGTGATCCTCCTGTCTCAGCCTCTCCAGTGCTGGGATGACAGGCGTGACCACCATACCTGGTTTCAGCGGCTGGCACAGTGGGCACAGGGTTCTGGGGCCTGCATGGCATATGATACCTGGGATTGAACCTGGGTCTTTGTGCTTGCCTAGGCAGGCACTTAGACCACTGAGCTATACCTCCCTAGTCCCTAGGGTCCCTTTCTTTTTTCCTTTCTTTCTTTTTTTTTTTTTTCGGAACCAGGGATTGAACTCAGACCCTTGCACTTGCTAGGCAAGCACTTATTCTACTGAGCTATCTCTCGGGCCCCAGGCCCCTTTTTTCATTTGAAAAATCTCAGGGCCAGTCAGATAGCTCAGTGGTCTAAAGCAGCTGCTTAGGCAAGTTTAGGCAGGTGGGGGAACTGCAGGTTTGATCCCATCCCAGCACCACGTGCCCCGCCAGCCTCGCCCTAAGGGCAAGCTGAGCTCCCCCACGTGAAAAATTCCATATTGCAAGAGCTCAATTCCTAGCAGTTTGATAACCTCTATTCCTTAGGATCCTTGTACAGGGGTCTGATTTCTTTTGGGTCTCAACTGCCTGCCACTTCCTCTACGAAGGCTTTCTTGACTACCTTTCTTTAATGCTATCTGCTTCCTTGGTAATCATTCTTCTTCCCTTCTTAAATTTTTTTATGGTGTCCTCTGGACCACACATTCTTTACAAATTTACTGGGGGTACGGTATCAATCTAAGCATTTTATGCATACTACTTGCGCTACTCTTAAGGGCTTAGAAGTTTAACACTGACTGAATATTTGTATTCTTCCAAAGTTCATTTATCAATCCTTAGCTCCCACTGTAATCAAATTTGGAGACAGGCCTTTGCAGAAGTAATTAAGGTTAAATGAGGTCAAAAGCCTAGGACCCTGGTCCAATAAAATCAGTGTTATAAGAAGTGACAACACGAAAGCAAAATAACCAGTAATAGCAGCCAGTATTCAAAAGCAGCTGGTCAGACTCCCAAACTTTTACTTTCTTCCCACTGCTGCTCTGCTAGCGCTTAGGCCTCCTGAGTTCTGGCTGTTAACCTATTTATTCTAAAGACTAAAAGTTTTGAATTTTTGCATAAGATTCACATATGGGATCTAGAAAAATTCAAGGAACAAGAACTTGAAGAGAACACATTTCATTGTGTTCCATTTTATTGGCGTCCTAAAACTGGATCACTAGGCAAGGTTAATTACCTGTCTCCAGCCCTGGGTGTCCACAAACTTCACTGGGTGCATCCTCTGTGCCCCGAACTGTTTGGCCACCTGAGGCACGAATAACTTCACATGGAATTCAAGCCAGGGTCTGTGGCCTTTGCCTCTCCTACAGGAGTTTGTGTAAAAATCCACTGCTTTTTTTTTTTTTTTTTCAGAACTCGGTTCTGAACTCAGGCCCTTGCCCTTGCCAGGGAAGCGCTTATTCCACTGAGCCATCTCCCCGGCCCCTCCTCTGCTACTTTTGAACTGACTCGATCCTCCTTTCCAAGTTCACAGCATCCACACAGCACCGCAGTATTCCCCAGCAGATTCACAACTGTACCAAAGTCCTGCCTTTGCTTCACTCCTCACCTCGTAGGGGGGTGCAGGCCTGCTGTCTCACCCATATGCAGAGACTGGGTTCCCCCAGGCTCAGGCCAAGGCCTAGGGGGAAAGGATGAGGTGCAAAGACCACACCTAACTTCACCCCCTCTCTAAACAAGTGGTCAGCGTGTAACGGTCACAGGTCTTAGCGATCTGGAGAGTTGATAAAACTGCGCAGAGGGGAAAACTAATCCTATTCTGGGTCTAAAACCTGGTCTTTTTCAATCTCAGCTTGGGTGCCAATCTCCCCCTCGGGTCAGCAAACTAATCTCCAGCCCAAATCCCCAAACTTGGACCCCTCCATATGCCATAAGCTCCGCCTAGTGGACTTTGCTTGCCTTCTTGCAAGGGAAAACTCTTTTGCATCCTCCGCATACACCACTCTTAATGAAAAAGATCAAAATGTGACATGTATACGTATCAATCCTCCACGACGAATGTATTTATTAGGTATCGCAAACATATACCAATAAAGGGGGTACTTAGCGGGCAGCAGAGGTAAGGGATCCGCGGTGCTCTGGGCCTCAGTTTCTTCGTCAGTGAAATGGGGTTCCTGAGGCATATGGGAGGTTGAAGGGTGTTAGGGCCTCCGGGTACTCTCAGGAGGGCCAAGGGCTGCACAAGTCCTCCTTTCCTCTCTGCCACCGTGTTTTGGGGCTCGGGCCAGACAGGCAACTCCCCAGGGCAGGGCCCAAGCCTGCCTCGTTTAGGACTAAGTCCTAGGAAAGCGCGGCCTCAGCGAACGAACGTGGCAAGAACGAGTGAAAAAAAGAAGAAGGGAATGAAAAATGAATGAACGGAGGCCCGAGAGCGGGACAAAGGCGTTGCAAGATGGCGTTCTTTAGGACCGTAGGAGGGGCGGCCGGGGCTCCGCCGAGGAGGGGGGCACCGGCGCCGGGGGCCTGGCGGGGCCGGCCGCACCACGGAAACAAAGCCCGCAACATGGCGGACTCTAGGACCCCTGGGCCCGCACCGCGCACGGCCGGCGGCCGCCTCGGCCGGGCGTAGGCAGCCGCACAGCCGGCCCGAGGGGAACAGCCGGCGGGTTCTAGGACCTGCTGGGCCCGGAGGCCGCCCGGGCCGCTCGCCGCGCGCCCCGCCCGCGCCAGGCCAAACCAGTTCTCCCTCGCTGCCCACAGGGAAACCGAGCCGCTGGGATCGCGTCTGCGCGGGAGCCACCCGGGCCCTGGCGACTCCTTGCGGCGTCTCTTACCTGAGTCGATCTGGACAGACTCCGCGGCGCCGGGATTAGCCGCTCTCACACAGACCCCGGACCCTGCAAGTAAAGGGCCGGCGCTAGGACCCCGCGGGAGGCAGGGGGCGGGGCCGGCGGGCCCGAAAGCGGAAGTGGAGGGAGCCTTCCCGGCGGAGGAGAAAGGCAAAGTTTACTGGAGCGCCTCCAGCCTCAGGTGGCGGAGAAACCGCTTGCAAAAGGTCTCTGGGTGCTAAGGGGAGGAGACGCCGGCGAACTGACCGCACACACCGGCCAAGGCCACCGAAGTGTTTCCAAGACCTAAAAGGTGGGAGGACAGGCCTTGCTCAGCCTAAATCCGCTTATATTCCACATTTCTTTTAGTAGTAAGGAATAACTTTAATGGGATTTCCTCCTCTGTTTTGGGAAGCCTTTCTGCGAGCCCCATGAAAAGTGTGCCAAAGTACTGTTGCCAGGAGTGCAGGATCCTATCCCCTCCCCCCATCTCATTCAATATACACCGGAAGGACTTTAGCATCTCTGGACGGAAGTGTGGCTAAGGTAGTGCTAAGACCGCGGCGCGGCGACCCACGTGGGCGGAGTCAGAGTTAAAGGCTGCCGGAACCTAGCGCCGGAAGTGCGCGCAGCACCCCTGCTTGGAGGCGGGACAGGAAGTGTTCCTGAGGCGGAAGTTTCGCGGGGAACCTTTTGCCTTTAGGACACTTCCTGTTTCCTAGTAACAATAGGAAGTGTCCGCGGAGCTGGGGCCAGACCCCGAGCTCTTAGCCGCTGTACTTTCTTTCCCCTTATTTCCTTCCTCTTCTCCCTTATTCTTTCAGTCTTATCCTCCCCAGTGGCCTTCCTGGAACTCTGGATGAGTGTGCGTGTGTGGGAGCGCGAGAAGCCTCCACAACCACTCCTTGGGGCGCGCGGCTGCAGTTAGGGTAAGGGTCTCAGTGCGCAGGCGCGCTCCAGTTCGCGGTCCCAACGGACGCGCCCGCGGCGGGAACTAGGGCTGGTGAGAGGTAGGGGTCCTGAGAGGAAACTGGCAGAGGAGTTGAGTGACTGGAGATGATTTCATTGGTGGTTAATTTGGAAAAGGAACTGGAGAGGAGGAGCTTTAGGAGGTGAGAATTCCAGGGAGCAGGCTCCGTGAGGGGGTTTAGTGTCGGAGATAGTCGTATTGGGGTCCCATAGGAGTCCAGAGAGGCCAAGATGATACAGGAGGTATGAAGGACTACTGTCGAGGAGAGGTTTTGGAATAAGAAATCACTGGATTTACTCATGTGTAAAGTTAAGTGTGAAGATTTGGTGACATAGTAGTTGTGTTTACCACAGTGCCTCGCACTTGGTAATACTTCAAATTGGCGTCGTCATCAATATTAAGAGAAGCAACTGAAGAGAAAAGGAGAAATGATAATGTAAGGTGGCATGGGATAGAAAAAGGGAATGAAATAAAATTCTCAGCTTGAAATGGGATGGAACTTTAAGATGGACAATAGTTTGGGTAGAGGAAGTGGCCAAGAGAGTCTTGGAAAAGAAACCTTATTGACATTGTGAGAGCTGCTGGAGGTGTGGGAAAAAACCTGTCTTAATCTGAAGGGAACCTCTATCCTCTCAATCCTCAACTGTCAGCTGGAGAAAGTTCACTTGCTGAAGGATAGAAGAAGGCAAATTGGACTTAGTGAAAAAGACATAGTTTCCTTTTAAGATGCCACAGGAAACTTGTACTTTCAGAATTGTAGAGCAGAGGATTAGGAACATAAAGCCTTTTGAATGTGGTTTGGGATTTGAAGTAGGTTGTCTCTGTAGACTGTAGCTTCCTTATCTATACCTCTAAGGATAATTTAAGCATAGATGAGCTCCCATATTTGGGGAGCTGTGGGGAAGCCTTAAATGATGGTATCTCCAGATTAGTAGCAAGCAAGTCCCTGGACACTGATAGTTGGGGAACCTCTTAATTATCTCTGGTGTATTTGTTGTTCATAGAACCAGAGCAAAGTTAATTCAGGCCTTCCTTTTGATCACTGACCCCTCTTCCTAGGCCCTTACACCAGAGGAAGATGGTACTGCTACCCGTCTGCTCCTGAATCTCCAGATTTCTGTCATACATTGCCTCATGGAGGATACACCCCTCTCATTCAGTTGCTCTGACTGTCAGCGCCACTTTCCCAGTCTCCCAGAACTTTCACGGCACCGAGAACTGCTCCATCCATCTCCCACTCAGGATAGTGAGGAGGCTATCCCTCGGCCCTACCGCTGTCAGCAGTGTGGGCGAGGATACCGTCATCCAGGGAGCCTGGTCAACCACCGTCGGACCCACGAGACTGGACTTTTCCCCTGTGCTACCTGTGGCAAGGACTTTACCAATCCCATGGCCCTCAAGAGCCACATGAGGACACATGCTCCTGAAGGCCGCCGTAGGCGGAGGCCCCCTAACACCAAGGAAGCCATTCCATATCTCCAGAGTGAGACAGTGTCTACTGACTCTTGGGGCCAGAGGTTTGGTCCTGGAGAAGGGTGGGAAAACCAAACAAAACATACAAAAGAGATACATGATTGTGAGTCTGGACCTGACCCCAGGACAACTCCAGGCACTTTGGAAGATATAACCACCAAACAAAGAGAAGGCTGGGAAAGCCAGCCAAATCCTGAGGAGGGCACAGAGGGCTGGAGTCCTACCACTCCCTCTGCCAAAGCCCCACCTCTTCCCACTCCAGCAAGCAGCCTCCTTAGCAATTTGGAACAGTATTTGGCTGAATCAGTAGTGAACTTTACAGGGGGCCAGGAGCCTACTCAGTCTCCTGCTGAGGAAGAGCGGCGGTATAAATGCAGTCAATGTGGCAAGACCTATAAGCATGCTGGGAGCCTCACTAACCACCGTCAGAGCCATACTCTGGGCGTTTACCCTTGTGCCATCTGCTTTAAGGAATTTTCTAACCTCATGGCTCTGAAGAACCACTCCCGACTCCATGCCCAGTATCGGCCTTACCACTGCCCCCACTGCCCTCGTGCTTTCCGGCTTCCCCGGGAGCTACTGGAACACCAGCAGTCCCATGATGTTGAAAGGCAGGAACAGCCCTGGGAAGACAATGGGTTGCCCACCACCAACGGGCACACAAATGAGAGTGCCCAGGACCAGATACCTACTACACAAGTGCTGAATGGCTTGGAGCTCAGCATGTCTGGGGAGCTCGAAGATAGTGGCCTGGAGGAGTACCGGCCTTTCCGCTGTGGAGATTGTGGCCGTACTTACCGCCATGCTGGCAGCCTCATCAACCATCGAAAGAGCCACCAGACTGGTGTCTATCCATGTTCAATCTGTTCCAAGCAGCTGTTCAATGCAGCGGCCCTGAAAAACCATGTGAGGGCTCATCACAGACCGCGGCAAGGAGCTGGGGATGATGGGCAGTCATCAGTGGCACCAACTGCCCTGCTGTTAGCTGATGCCACTCACAAAGAGGAAGAAGGCTCCACCACTACCCTAGACTATCGCCCATATAAATGCAATGAATGTGGCCGGGCTTACCGCCACCGGGGGAGCCTGGTTAACCACCGCCACAGCCATCGCACAGGAGAATACCAGTGTTCACTCTGTCCCCGCAAGTACCCCAACCTTATGGCCCTGCGCAACCATGTCAGAGTACATTGCAAGGCTGCTCGAAGAAGTACAGACCCAGGAACCAAGGGTCCTCCCAGCCACCTCAAGGTGCTGCCTAACTCAGTGGGAGCAGAGCCAACCCCACACACAGGTGAGGGACATATGTGCAGAAGTGAAGGAGGGACTGTCGGTATCCCAACAGCAGATAAAACATCACCACTAATATGTAGTATCTGTGGGATGCTTTTTGAAGATTGTGAGAGCCTTGAACAACATGGCCTGACCCATAGGGAAGGGGAAAATAATAGGACAGAGACCACAGTGTCACCTCCTAGGGCATTTGCCTGCAGAGACTGTGGCAAGAGCTACCGACACTCAGGCAGCCTTATTAACCACAAGCAGACCCATCAGACAGGAGACTTCAGTTGTGAGGCTTGTGCCAAACACTTCCACACCATGGCTGCCATGAAGAGCCATTTGCGACGCCACAGTCGACGGCAGAGCAGGCGTCATCGGAAACGGGCTAGCAGTGAGGCAGAAGCCAAGTTCCCGCTAGAGGGGCCTTGGGCTCATGAAGTTGAAGACAGCGTTGGCCTGGATTCTTCCCAAAACACTTTAAGGAAAAGTCCTTGTGAAACTAAAGACAACTTGGAAAATGATGGACACTGTTTGCAAGCTCAGTCTGAAGGTGACCATTGTGGGCTTGAGAGGGATGAGGCCTGTTTCCAGAGTGATAAAGAGAGGAGAAGCACTGAAGACGGACTGGAAAGGAAGGAGACCTGTTTCCTTGACAATTTAGACATCCCAGGTGATGAGGAAGCTAGTGGGACTCGCTTCTCTGATAACCTCCCTGGGGTAAATGAAAACCAGAAAACCACTGGTGAGCCTGACTCATCTTCCCACTGTGCTGAAACTGTTACCAGCTGGCAGACTGAGGTCACTCACAAATGTTCTGACTGTGGGCATTCTTTCCCTCATGCCTCTGGACTGCTGAGCCACAGGCCCTGCCACCCACCAGGCATCTATCAATGTTCCCTCTGCCCAAAGGAGTTTGACTCTCTGCCTGGCCTGCGCAGTCACTTCCAGGACCATGGGCCAGGGGAGGCAGCCTCAGCACAGCCCTTCCTCTGTTGCCTCTGTGGTATGATCTTTCCTGGGCGGGCTGGCTACAGGCTTCACTGGCGCCAGGTTCACAGCTCCTCTGACATGACTGAGGGTTCAGAGGAGGATGGAGAAGAGGAAGGAGGAACAGAGGTGGCCTCTACTCGTAGCCCTCCACTGCAGCTCTCAGAAGCAGAGCTGCTGAATCAGCTGCAGCGGGAGGTAGAAGCACTGGATGGAGCAGGTTATGGGCATATCTGTGGCTGCTGTGGTCAGACCTATGATGATCTGGGGAGCCTGGAGCGTCACCACCAAAGTAAAAATTTGGAGAATACCATAGACAAGGCTCCAAGTCATTTAGAAGCATTAGGTGATGTCACAGAGATAGCTGCAGACAGTGTCCTTGAGGACACAGTGCCTTCTATCTCTGGAGAGGGTGAAGACACAAAGTCAGAAGAGGGAGTGAATGATACAGTTGTAGACAGCCTTGGCATGCAGGTTGGTGAAAGTTTTCTAGAAGTTCACCCTCGTCCCTTCCGTTGCAACCAGTGTGGTAAGACCTATCGCCATGGGGGAAGCCTGGTGAATCACCGCAAGATCCACCAAACTGGAGATTTCATTTGTCCTGTCTGCTTCCGCTGCTATCCCAACCTGGCTGCCTACCGTAACCATCTGCGGAACCACCCTCGCTGCAAAGGCTCTGAACCCCAAGTGCGACCCATCCCAGACATCGGGTTCAGTAGTGAGCCCCAGAGTGTGGCAGAGAGAGAGCCAGAGCCGGCAGAGAGAGAGTCAGAGCCAGCAGAAATGGGAAAGCTGCAAGAAGAACTTAAAGAGGAGCCCCTGGAGGATGTGGCAAGGGTGAAAGAAGAGGAGTGGGAGGACACCCCTATGAAAGGGGAGGAGGTAGAGTCTATGTTGGAGACAGCAGAGAAGGGCTGTCAGACTGAGACCAGTTCTGAGCGGCCTTTTAGCTGTGAGGTGTGTGGCCGCTCATACAAGCATGCTGGCAGCCTCATCAATCACCGGCAGAGCCATCAGACTGGCCACTTTGGCTGCCAGGCCTGCTCCAAGGGCTTCTCAAACCTCATGTCCCTTAAGAACCACCGACGCATCCATGCAGACCCTCGGCGTTTCCGCTGCAGTGAATGTGGGAAAGCCTTTCGCCTGCGGAAGCAACTGGCCAGTCACCAGCGGGTTCACATCGAGCGGCGTGGCAGTGGGGGGACCAGAAAGCTGATTCGGGAAGATCGACCCTTCCGGTGTGGACAGTGCGGTCGGACCTATCGTCATGCTGGCAGCCTCCTGAACCACCGGCGCAGCCACGAGACAGGCCAGTATAGCTGCCCTTCTTGCCCCAAAACCTACTCCAACCGTATGGCCCTGAAGGACCATCAGAGACTACATTCTGAGAGTCGGTGGAGGCGGGCAGGGCGGTCCCGGAGGGCAGCTGTGCGCTGTGCTCTCTGTGGCCGTGGCTTTCCTGGGCGGGGATCTCTAGAGCGGCACCTGCGGGAGCATGAAGAAGAGACCAAAGGGGAGCTGGCCAGTGGCCAGGGAAGCCCAAATGGCATAGAGCGCAGTGAGGGGAACTTGGCTAACAACCAGGGACTGGAGGGTAGATCAGGGGGTACTGAGTCTGTACCTCAGCTAGAGGATGAAGCCCTGAGGCCAGAAGAGCATACTCAAAATCCAAGGGGGACAGCAGATTCAGAAGCCACAGATGCACTGTCCTGGGGCATGGGAAAAGAGGGTGAGTGGCAAGGAGAGAAGACATTGGCAAATCACAATGGAAGTTGGGTTCCTCAGGGTCAGATATTGACCAAGCCAGAAGACCAGCCAGAGAACAGTGTCTCCAGGAATCCTTGTCACCTTGCTGACAGTCAGTCCAATGGACCTAGTCTAAGTCACATGGACAGCTGGGATAATGGAGATGGCTGCTCTCAGCTCCAGCCAGAGAGCCACTCCTATTCCTGCTGTCAGTGTGGCAAGACCTATAGCCAATCAGATGGCTTCTTGAACCATAACACCCACAAGACAGACCTCCACTATTGCCTGCTCTGCTCTGAGGAGTTCTTAAATCCCATGGCCACTAAGAATCACAGCCGTAACCATATAGCTGCACAGGCTTTTTCCTGCCCTGACTGTGGCATAGCTTTTGAGTCCTACCATGAATTGAACACTCACTTGCATACTCATGCCACGGGTCACAGTCAACTGCCAAATCAGATAGAAGAGGCTGGAACTGTAGAGGACAAAGTGGATCTCCCTGGTCAAGGGAAAGCTCCAGAGGCCCCATCAGAGGCCCTCAGAGCCTCAGGAGAGGATTCCAAGCAAGCTAGTGGAGGGCAAGAAACAAACCTCACAGGGGCTGACGACAAGGAGCGGCCCTTCCGCTGTGCCCAGTGTGGGCGTTCTTACCGCCATGCTGGCAGCCTGCTTAACCACCAGAAGGCCCATACCACCGGCCTCTATCCCTGCTCCTTGTGCCCCAAACTTCTGCCCAACCTGCTATCTCTTAAGAACCATGGCAGGACCCACACAGACCCCAAGCGCCACCGCTGCAACGTCTGTGGCAAGGCTTTCCGGACAGCTGCCCGGCTGGAGGGCCATGGGAGGGTCCATGCACCCCGAGAGGGGCCTTTCACCTGCCTCCATTGTCCCCGTCACTTCCGCCGTCGAATCAGCTTCTTGCAGCACCAACAGCAACATCAGGAGGAGTGGACGGTGGCCAGCTCTGGTAAGAGGGAATGAATGGGCTTGGGCAGAGGATTGAAGGGTCCCAGAACCCGTCCACTGGGAGGGCCAAATTGGATCCCAAGGTGAGTGGTGGAGTAAGGAGGGAGATCACATGGATCCAAGAGGTTGGTGGCCGGGGGGTGGGGGGTGGCCTGAAGATAGGGTGGAAAATAGCTTGAAGAGGCTGCTGTGTGAGAAGCTGAGATCTGAACTCTTGGGTTAGATAAACATGGCATGACAGGTCAGAGCAGTGGCCATAGATAGAGGCAGCTGTGCAGGTTCCACTGCTATAACCCAGGAGGAATGGCCTTTTGTCTTGACTTGGCCTGGGTACCTGGGTGCCACCTGGCTACCGTGTCTGGAAGCCCTCATGATTCAACCAGTAATGTTTTCTATAGACAAAGATTAAGCCACCAGTTTTGTCTAGGTTCTGTTCTGGAGTGCTGGGGGAGCTGGGGAGGAAGGGAGCATGGGCCAGGGGGAATGGCCCTTTGGGCTTAGGAAATGTGGGGTTTGTCCCGTCAGTCAGTGATGTCTGCTGTTTTATGGCTTCCCTGCTGACCTGGCAATGGAAACTGCATCACTGGTCAATATTCAACTCTTGTCTCTTCCTACATCTCATCCTTGTTTTGCTCTTTTCTTGGGAACTAAATTTTTTTTCCCCTATAAATGTTCCAGTTTTTTTTTTCTTCCTTTAGTCAATCCCTCTCTCTGCTGTAGAATTTTTTGTTTTTATGTTTATTTATTATTGAGGCATTATTTTTTGCTATGTAGTTTAGGCTGGCCTTAAAGTCACTTTGTAGCCCAGTCTGGTCTCAAAGTGATCTTTCTGCCTCAGCCTTCTAAGTGTTGGAGTTAGAGGTGTGGGCACCACACCCACTTGTAGATCTTTTTAGACTCCAACCAAACCACCCTTTTTACCCTGCACACACGTATCACCACATACACACCTCCTCACATCTTTAATTGAAGGCCTGAGTCACACGTTAATTATTTCTTTGAAGCCAGGCCCAGCCATAGCCACAGCAGTCATTAGGCCCTATCTCTAATCATCTTATCAGGGCATCTTGAGTAGATTCTTCACCCAGCCCAAAGAGGAAGAGATGTAGAAGGCAGGGCGGGCCATTCCTCACCAAGCCCTGGGTCACTGCTCTCCAGTAGAGAACTCATTCCATTTAGTGGCCACCAAGGATGGGTGTCCCTGAGATGTGAGTCCTTGATCAGAGCTTATGAGGGTGGAGAAAGAGAGTGGATCCCATTGCCTTCAGGGTAGAAGGAATGGCCATCAGGGTGAAAGATTTCTTGTGAGAGGCCTGGTAGCCAGGGCTGGTAAAGGAATGGGGAATCTTAGGATTCCTGGGTTCTCCTCTGGGGCCATGAATGGGGGTGGCTTGCCACACTGGAGAAGTGTGTCATCTACCTCCTCGGTGACCTCTTTTCTCTCCTCAGGAGCTCCAGTGGCACCAACGGCAAGCAAAGGGGACATGTCATTGCCGGCTCCATCTACCCCCACAGCCCCACTCCTGGACCCTTCACCCCAGTGGCCTGCGGACCTCAGTTTCTCCCTCTGAACTTCTGAGTCTCCAAAGATCAGAACATTGGAGAGCGGGTGTGGGCAGGGGCGGGCTTGACCTCCATGTTTTGCTCAGGAGTAGCTTGGGCATCCCCAGCTCCTCTCTCTCCCAGTGATAAGCACCCGGATCTGGCTGCTTTCCTGAGAAGGAGTCCTTGTCGTTGAAGGATCTTCCTCCAGCCTTTGTCACCATGTTCTGCCATGGTGCCAGGCCACCTTTGCCAACTAGATTGCAACACCAGGGAAAGGCAGGTTCAGAGAGAGCCATTGGTAGGAATGTTGCCTGTGAAAGGGGAGCCTTTTGCTACAGTTTGTAACTTATTTTCTAAAGTCTATTTTGTAACAATTTATTTAAGTTTTAAAAAAGGAAAATTGCTCCCCCCAAAAGAAATTTTTAAAACAGGTGGCTGGTGTGATTGGGTCTGAGGAATGAAGGGTTGGGACAGCAGGGGACATGTGCATTGGAGCGCAGAGCTGTGTGGGCGCATCCGCAAGTGACGTTCTTGTCCTGTAGGGCAGGGACTGGGCAACTGCTGGTTCTCTGGGCTCCTCCCCACAGCCCTGTGTGCTGCTGGGCCTGCCCCAGGGCCTGGAGCACACTTGGGGGCCCAGGGAGGGGCAGGCACGTTCACGTGGGAGTTGTCTCACTTTTCCCACATCCCGTGAACAGCCTCGAGAGTCACTTGTCAACAGCTGGCCGGCTGGCCTATCAAGGAAAGGAAGAAGAGTGCAGTTGGCTTCATCCTCACAGTTGTGTTCCCTCCCTTGAAGGAGCAGGCTCTGCCTTGGCATCGTCCGTACACCCAGTTGCGCAATGGGCGGGAGCTGCAGTTAGCATGCACGCGGGTCCTCTGCTGCAGCCCACCCAGGGCCACTATGGCAGTTCAGAAGAGCAAGAGTTCATTCTCCAGATGGAGATGAGGAAGTGGAGCTGGTGGGAAGCCCCAGGGATGCTTACGTGCATTGGCTAGGCAGCTTCCAGCCTCCACCTCGAGCTCTGGTGCCTCCTCCTCGGGCTCCAGCTCCGGCTCCGGCTCCTCAGCAAAGTAGACTTGCCAGTCTAAATTGCTGACCCAGTCCTCATAGGCAGGCAGTGCAGTGAAGACAGCAGGCCTTATGGGGCCTTGGCAGGCATCTCCAAAACTGTGTAGCCCAGCCAAGAACCATGTGCCCCTCACCTCACGCACCAGCGGTGCCCCTGATAGGCCCTGTTGGGTTGGTGACAGTGGGTTATTTCCTCCACTGACACAGCCGTGGGCAGGTAGGAGCTAAAGTACTGGTTATTTGGGGGCAAGTTGGCAGAAGGGACTAGTTCTAGTGCAAGGCTGGCATGAGGCCATGTTTGGCAGGTCACCCATTCGTGTGTGTGGTGAGGAAGCCAGGGGGCTGCTGGCTAAGGTTTGGGAGCAGGCCTCACCTCACAGTGGGGCAGCTCTCCCACGATGCTGGTGCACACCATCCCTGGCAAAATGGGGGTGCCGTCACCCCCAGGAGCTGCATGTAGTCGGCCACAGGCCCTCGGCCCCAGGAGGGTCACAGGCACTGTCTGTAAAGAGCTCATGCCTGTAGGGTAAGGAAGAAGAGCAGGCTGCCCAGCGGCCTCAGGCCAGGTGGACAGTGCTGGTAACCCCGTCCTGCGTACCTGCTCCATGGGCCAACCCCAGGACCCAGCCATGTTCCCCATCAGGCAGGCAGTGGTCAGTGTAGGGCAGGCAAAGGGGTCGCAGACTGGGACCCAGTACCACAGGCTGGGCCAGCAACAAGAGGGCCACATCGTAGCCCCCTTCTGGGTGTGTGTAGGCGCCATGCAGGGTGAGCTGCTTCAGGCCCCGCTCCTGTGGTTCAGTGCCCAGCCCCACGCTCCACTCTTCCAGGGTCTGGCGCCTGTGCAGAGGCAGCATGGACGACACTTGAGTGACTGGGCTGGGGCAGGGCCCTCACAGGGAAGGGCTGCAGGGCTCACCCGATGAAGCAGTGGGCAGCCGTCAGCACCACCTCCTCCGATACTAAGGCGCCACCGCAGGCCAGCTTCCCCTGGTGCTTCAGCCTCGCATCCCAGGGCCATGGAGAAGGGGCTCCAGGCTGGGGACCGTCTCTCCTCAGGGATCCGCAGGCTGAAACATTTCATCATCTGACTTGGTTAGCGCTCACTGGGCCAGGCACTTCCCTGTGCTGTCAAATTGCCCCAATTTCCTGTAGGTTTGCTTGTGTTACCCTCACAAAGCTTCCACCTGGCAAGCCAATGTTCCTGAGTTCAATCCCCAGTACCACCAAAACAAAACAAAAAAGGTTCCAGAAGTTAAGTGACTTGCTAACTTTGTACCAGAAGCCAGTAGTAGCAGACTTGGGTTTCAAAAACCAGAGCCTGACTGGGTGTGGTGGTGCACTCCTGCAATCCCAGCACTTGGGAGGCTGAGGCAGGATGATCGCTGAGCTCCAGGCCATCCTGGGCTACATAAGTTCAAGCCAGCCTGAACTATACAGTGAGACCCTATCTCAAAAACAAACAAAATACAAAAGTCAGAGCCGGAGTGCTTTAAGCCTGGGGATCTGAGAGTACGTCGTCCCAGTCCTTCAGGAAGGGCCTGTCCCTTACTTCCCACCCCCCTGCCTACATTCCTCCAGGCAGGTTGGGTCTTCAGAGTCCCTGGCCCACTAGTGCTTCCTGTAACACTATCACTTCCTTCCCAGGCATGTTTGCCTGTAGTTTGCATGTTGCTTGCTTCATGCCAGGATTCTGAGAGTGAGCCCTGCCTGTTTGATCTTGCTGGGTCCCTGCCTGGCAGCTTTCTGTTTCCTTAGAAAACCTTCAGCTGGGTGAGGTGGTGAGCCCCTGTAATCTCAGCACTGGGAGGCTGAGGCAGGAGGATCACCCTAAGTTCAAGGCCAGCCTGCACTACATAGCCAGCCCATCTCAAAACAAAAACAAAAACCTGCATATCTCAGAGATACCTCTTTCCTAAACTCCAAACCCATAAAGCTGCAAATCATGCCCCTCAGCCCTAAAGGGGCTGGCAGAGGGTTCTATGGGCAGTCTGCAGTCTAGGTATTAGAACTCTATTCTGACTGAAGTTTGCTTCATTGTGACTCCAACCTGCTGCCCTTGCGTAGGCCTGGATGTCCCTACATCCTCCCGTGCCCCACTCACCACACCCACTGCTCGTACCTACACAGCTGTCCTCATCACTGGTCTCCGGAGTCCCTGGGTTCTGGGCCAGAAAGGCTGCTCCCGGAGCTCGTGCCTGCAGCCAGGAGCTGTGAGCGGCCGTGTTGGTCAGCAGCACAGGAGTGTCTTCCTGGGCACACTTGGACGCAAAGCTGATGATCCCAGCCTGAACCCAGTGTCCGTCGGGCTCTTGGCACAACACGGGGCCCCCAGAATCTCCCTGGAAGCAGGCAGTGGAGCCAAGAACACACCTGAGCCATGGGCCTGGCTGGGGATACACCCCTGACTGTAGCCCTTCCATTCTTTTCTGTGGGTTGCGCCCCCAGGATCAGGCTAGGCCTCCCCTTCTCCCTTCCCTTCTCCTCCCCCTCAGACCTGGCATGGTCCCTGCACCCCAGGCTGGGCACCCCCACACAGCATCCCGGGCCGGGCTGGGCTGGCCAGCAGACGCTGGTGCAGCCGGTTGTAGAGACAGTTACATGTGGGACGGCTGATTAGACGCAGGCGCAGGTTCCGGAGGTTCCTGGGAGCTGCCGAAGGGGTGAGGGCTGAGATAGGAGCCTGGGTGCTGGGAGGTAAGGGGGGCTAGGGCTGAGGCACAGTTGGGAGCAGAGACTGTGACCTGGGTGAGCAGGTGACCTCTCTGGGCTCAAGTCTAGAACAGCACTTACCATCACTGGTGTCTTGATCCCAACCAGTAGCCCAACAAGAGGCTCCAAAGGGGAAGCGATGGGCAGGCCGGGGTAAGCAGAGGGGCGTGCGGGTGGTGGGGTGGGCAAGCCGGAGCAGAGCCAGGTCTGAGCCCTGGCTGTAGTGGTTGAAGGCCCGGGGCAACTGCAGGGCGGCTACTCCCACCTCCTCAGCCCCTTCGCTCAGCCCCTCACGCTGCAAAGAACCCAGGACAACGGACCATGAACTCAGTTCTGTCGCTGCTGCCCTGGAATGGGAAGGAAAGGCTGGGACTGTGGCGTGTAGGGGACAGAGTGACACCCAAGACATAGCCCAGGCAGCTGAAGACCAACAGATCGCAGTCTGTTGCTTCAAGCATGGGTCTTCACTTTTCTCAACTTCAGTTTATTCATTTCTGAAACTCCCATGAAAGGCTGTTAAGATTAACTTGGTAACATATACCTGGCACAGGACAGAGTCTAGGAGCAGGGATCAGTCTTGTGGGGCTTAGGGACACATCATCCATCTCGATGCCAGAGGCCTGTCTAACCCCGCCATGACTCACTTTTCAAAGCAGTGGGCAGCAGTGAGGACCCAGGTGTCAGCCACCAGAGAGCCACTGCAGATGTGGACTCCCTGCCGCCGCACGCTGGCCTGCCAGGGCCATTCTCCAGGTACTGTGTTGCCCTCCTGAGGCTCGGGGGGACCCGGTCCCCGCTGCCCACAAGCTGTGGAGAGGAGTAGGTCATGCTGACAGTGCACCCTTGTCCCACATCACCCGAGGCCAACCCAGACTCAAGGCCTAAGCTTTCCCCGGAGCTTACCACGCTGAGCCGCTTGGAGACCTGGAAAGAGAGAGACACAGGTGAGACTCAGGGACTTTCATCTCAGAGCCTAGGTGTGATGGAGAGTGAGGGTTGGGGTGACTCTGAGTACCTCACCAGCCCCTCCCAAAATGAAAATATATGAGGCCAAGAAGTAGCTTTTATTGGAACCCATTCAGAGTACACACTCAGTAATTAATCCTCCTCCCTAAGCTGTGCTCAGCATTCCTGGGCCTGAGGAGCAGGGCCCCCACAACTGTCCCTACTGCTGAGTCAGAGAGGGCCCATGTGTGTGGAAAGCATTGGCTTAATTGTCCCTGGAGCCATGGAGACTTTTAAGTGGATGAATTAGAGGCCTCCATCATGGTCGAGGGGGGAAGTGACTCACCCCGCCCCAATGCTCCCAACTTTGAGTGCGCATCTTCCCACAAACTCCCAAAAGCCCACTGTAGGGTCCCTGCCCTGCCTCTTCCCCACCGTGGTGCACACAGCTAGGGCCACTGGACACTGGAGGCAGCACGGCCAAGGTGCAACAGAGGAAAGATGCGGAGGAGGGGTGCAGAGAGCGCCTGAGATCATTCTGGAAGCAGACAGGCAGGGTGCAAGAGGTATCCACAGGAACAGTGACAGTCCCTACAGACACTGTAAGTTGGCCCAAGAAAGTCATACCCACTTATTTTCACACAGGTGGCCCTATATGTCCCTACACACACACACAGGCACACACAGGTCTCGCCACAGGCACACTGCTGGCCCACAGGCAGGACAGCATGCACGCACAGCAAAGTGTGGGGGCTGGAGGAGCCCCCACATGCACACAGATGGCTTACCCTCTAGGAAGACCAGCGCTCCCAGGAAGAGCAGCCCAGGTCCCCAGCCCTGCTTCATGCTGCTCCAGGTCACTCTGCCGCGCTGGCTCTCAGAGAGGCCACCTGGGTCTCCCTGGCTCCACCTCTGCTCCGCCCCCAGCTGGCTAGGAGTCAGGCGTCAGTGATTTTTTTGGGCTGCAGGGAGCTGGCAGCTGGTAGCTCTGGTGCTGCGGCTGTGTGACCTTGGGTTGATTTAACACTCATCTTTAGAACTC